TTTATGCAAGACATTGTGAAAATGTAAAAATATACAAAACATGGCCCATTGCCTTGAGGTTGGAGCCTAAACCAAATGTTTACATCCAAGGCAGGATGTGGTTGTGTGAGTAAGCAGCCCACATTCAGAACCACAAGAGTGTGTAGTGTGGAGAGATCAACACTTGCTAGGCTAAGAGGGGAAAGTTGTGAAGGATGAACTAGTTTTTAAAAATAGAAAAGGGATGTATAAGAGGAATTTGGGGAAGAAACCATTAGTAGTGCCCAGGGAATGGCTGTATGTGAGATGAATAAAAGAAAGAAGTTAGAACTCATTCCCATCGTTGTGGCTTGGTGACGGAGATAATAGTTATTTTCATAAAACATGTAGGGCAAGCAGAAGGAAGGACTGGTTTAGGGCTGAAGATAATAAACGGGGGTTAGACTTGTTGGGAGGGAGGTGATGGTGGGATATTAAGTGGCAGTGTCTGCCAGGCATTTGGAGATACATGAGTGGGACTTTGGGACAGAGGCCAAGGCCATCTGTAGATACAGGCTTGGAATTCATTCAGAACTAAACTAACCCATCATTCATACATGGAGGGTTTATCAGTTAGGTGTCCTTGGTTGCAAGCAACAGAAACTGAATCTAACAAGTGTAAAAGTCTCCCAGAATCAAAGAGTTCACTGCAGACCTTTAGTCAGAAGTGGCAGGGACCAGGGCAGCTGAGCTCCAGATGGGAAAAACTCACAACCTCATCAAGCTGAGATGAATCAGCTCCAACTACTTTTCCCATTCCTTTCAAGACTTGAAGTACTGGGAGAGAATCCAGTTAGCTTGGTTATGTGCCCACCAATCCAGTTAACTTGATCGTATGCCCATTGGCTGGAGAAAGTAAGGACACACTGATTTCCTTCTCAACAAAATAGTGTATAAAACAGGAGAGATGATTCCACTATGAAAAGATGAAGGAGGGTATGGATGCTGGAGGGCACAAATCAATCACCAGTGTTCATCCATTGGGAGAGAGAGTGAAGAAAGGAGAGAGCTGAGGGAAGTCACTCACATAGTGTCTACCTTGCAGAGGAGGAAGGTTTGATGAGGGAAAGGTGAAGACAAACTGAGGACTTGGAAGAGCGAATAGAAGAGTTTCAAAAAATGTGTAAAAACATGAGAGTTGCATTCTGCCAAGGAGTCAAAGGTGATGATGAGAATGATGAAAAACGCCTGGAGTTGGCATGGGAAATTATTGGTAACATTTGAGGGAGAAGAAGGGAAGGAGGAAATGAGGGAAGGAAGCAGGAAACACAATGATGGCAGTAAGAAGACAGATTGAAGAGACTCATGGAACTAGGGAGGCACATCTATTTTTTGGTGGTAAAAGGAAGGACGAAGCTAGGTTGCTGTTTGAAGGGGTCAGTATCACAATGATTCTCAGAACCTGGTTGTTCCATCCTATTTGGTCAAACGTAAGTAGAAAATAATACCCAGCCCACCACTTAGTAATGTCTTTTCTCTGAGGCTCTTGGTGAGAAGTAGTGATGGCAATAGAAAGGTGCAGATGGATGCTCTGGTTTAATCTGTTTCAGAAGTTACAGAAATAGGAAGTTGGACTTATTTGAAAGCCACCTTTAAAGGGAAATAAAAAGAAAAATACTTTTTCAGAAGCTTAAAAAATAAAACAAAGCAAAAAAACAAAAACAGCAAACCCCAAACCAATGCAACTGTCTCAGAAACTAATTGCATACTGAACTGTTATAACCAGTCTCCTTTCCCCTGGTTGTAACAATCTTACATAACAGCATTTGCATCCATAATGTGTAACAAGTAGTCTTGTGGTGTAATGTCTTTTAAAAAGGGGCCAGATAGGAGAGAAGCAACTATCTTATATTCTTATCGTAACATCAGTCAGTCTTCCAGACAAAACACCATCACCCCATTGGGAGCTAAGGACAGTTTTTACTTAAATACAAGGTCACACTGTTTGGGTGCATGGGGGAGTGGTGAAGGTGGGTGGGGGGGATTTTCATTTATTCCAAGGCACTCAACACTGGATCTCTTCCAAGAGAGGAAACAAGACTAAATAGATCATTTGTTTTATTCTGTTTGGGCATTTCTTGCGTTTCTCCCAACTGCGGCTTATGGACACAAAGCCAAACTCAGAGCCTGGCTGGAGCTGGCTAAATGCCAGGTCAAAGGAATAAACAATTTGAAGCTCTATTTGCGGATTAAGGCAAGCTACACAATTGAAGGACAAAATGAAATTCTGCTGTGAATGTGAAGTAGCAAAGAAAGAGCCAGGTAGGAGTATTAAACAATTTGGAGTTCTCAAACAAAGCCAAGGTAGCGGTAGGGGGAAATGTCGATTGGAAGTACACATCTGTGAGAAACGCATTTCACAGATGGCCAAATACTGGAGGAGAAACCTGCTGCTTGTGGGCACCAACTGAGGTAGAAACATAACTTCTTTGAACAGCCCCCTCACAAAGGGTGTCAAAGAGCCGGGTCATCTGAACAACATGGAAAGTGCACCTTGAGTTATTCTGTCTCGTCTTGCCGGCACCGGGAAGGCTGGCCAACACCAGCCATGCACACTCGGTAGCAAGTATAGTTGGTATTCCCAGCATATCCTACTGGTAGAATGCCTCTTTGTCTCCAGTCACTTTCCTTTGAAGACAGTCATCATCAGTTCCATCAAATATCCAAGGAGAGAAAGGAACCCTAGTGGCTGAGCTTAGGTTAGCATATTAGTTAATACCACACCCATCTGACTTCAGAATTAACATCACGTAAAATGTAAATAAAAACAAAAGAGGTAAAGCCTAAGAATCTCTGAATGTCTTTTATAAATGAAGCATCTGGGCCCTAATTATAGTCTCATTGAAAAAATTAAGTGTTTTTTTCTTTTTCTCCTGAAAAACACTGGCTCTTATGGACCAATAACTGAAACCCTTTAAGATAATGTTTGTGCTTTTCTCTCACTGATTAACTTTAAGTTTACTAAAAATTTTAAAATACAAATAGTTAACCAAAGTCTTTGGGCAATAAACCAATGTATGAATGCTAATACCTTGACTGGGATATTATACAATAGCTGCAAAATGTTATCACTGAGGAAAACTGGGCAAAAAGTGTGCAAGAGACTCCTCTGTTTTATTTCTTACAACTGCATGTGAACCTACAATCATCTCAATTAAAGTGTTCAATTTTTAAAAGTGATTGAGGTAGAAATGGATGTAGGAAATCCGGTAAGTTTTTATAACCTGGCTTCACTCACATTTTCTGGTTCTAGCTTGTTTCTCCAGTAGTGTCTTGGATGACTGCCTTTGGTCTGGAAGAGGCTACTCATTCCCAGCTTCTTGAACACACTGAGCCAGCTCATTCCTACCTCTGGGATTTCCCCCCAACCCACCTCATTTGAATTTTTCCCAGCAGCAGCTCACCCTTTCTGACTGGACCAAGTCACAACACTGTCATTGGAGCAGTTCTTACCATATCTAATAGTCACGTGGCTATTAGTACATCTGCTAGTCAACAGATATTTATTGAGCAACTGCTATTTGTGTAGTATGGCTCTAGGCACTAGGTATGGGGAGCTGGGAACCATGTAGAATTGGTTTCTCTTCCCTGATCTTCGAAAGCATAATCCAGTGAGGGAGAGTGGAAGAAAACTTGCAATAAACTTTTTAAAAGAAGTCAAACCATGATGAGGACTATGAAGAAAATGATAGGTTAGAGGGGAGGAAATGACTCTAGCTCAAGAGGTCTAGGAAGGAGTCCTAGAAGAGACAAGCATGTGAGTTGTGATCTAAGGTATAGGAGGCAGTCATGAGAAGATCCTGGGGCCAAGAAGCATTTCAGGCGGAGACAGCAGCACGAAAAAAGGATTTATACACTGCCCTGTAATTGAATATGAATATTCAACTGCCTGTAAAATAATTAATTTCCCCCCCCCGACTGTTTCCTTCTTATTTAGGGCCAAATCTCCCATAGCCCCGTTTCCCTACAGGAGGGACTGTGAGTTCACATTTTTAAACGCAACCCCTCTCCCAAGGCAGGGACACACTGTCTGGCACCGCCACCTAAATGCCAATGGCCTATTGCAGAATGAGCGTCTAAGTTGCTCTCCTCAGTAGATGCAACCCTAACTCGGGGCTGTGTCTAAGGAGATTAACCACATTTCTTCCTCACAGTTGGGGCAGTCAGCCTGCTAGTGAGTGTTCTGCACTAAAAGCAACATGAATTATGTCATTAAAGTTGGATCCCCACAAACCTAACTTGGCGTAACGGAGGAAGGTCCTGGTAACAGCCTGGAGTGGTTCAGTGATTTGTCGCCGGCCTGCAGGGTCTGAGCCTCTGTTGCGCCCAGGGTCCCATCCGCGGTGGAGATGGGCTGGACTCCCAGGGCGCTGCGGGCACCTCACGCTGCCATCGCAGCCAAGAATCCGGATTCCCTTGTTTGTCATCTGCCTAAGGCGACCTGCCTCTGCTCCTCTGACCCCAGGCAGGAAAAAGTGGGCTCCAGGGCGCCCGCAGAGCCTCGAGGGGCGGTCTGCCCCTTCCCGGCCGCGTCCCGGCACCGCGATCTCCATCACCCGCAGGGATGGGCATTGTCCAGGGCGCCTCTGTCCCTCCGAGGGGGCGGCCAAGACGACACGTCCTGCGTCTCGGGGACGCGCCACGAGCCCTGTGCCCCCTCCCCGACACCCCGCACACTCCCATCCGGGAGACCCACGTGCAGCCGGCTCGGCTCCCATCCGGGAGACCACCTCGGGGTCGGCGCGGCTCCCCGG